GAGATCTGTGTGGTCCTCCTTTGTACGTATGTGTTCAACAGACATTAAGCTGTATCATCATCACACAAGGGGGGGGGGGGTTGGATCCAGTCACTTTTGCACTCAATCTTATCCAATTCCTTTTCATATTTTTTTGCCATCAAGTCACGGCTGAAACACTATGGGTTTCTCAAGGCAAGAGACATTTAGAGGTGGTTTGCCAATGCCTGTCTTCGCATCACAACCCTGGTATTCCTTGGAGGTCTCCCATCCAAATACTAGCCAGGACTGACCCTGCTTAGCTTCCGAGATCTGACAAGATCTGGGCTCTCCACGTCAAAATATTAAAAGTGTGTTGAACTTATTCAGAAGACTGAGTACCACATAGATCTCAACTACGAAAAGACTGCAGAAAGTTTGAGAGGCCACCGTTACAGCCAAAGAGGTGAAACTAATCTGCTTTTTGTTTGCCAAAGAACAATGCAGTCCAGCATTATACGTTGTGAGTTCTTCCAACAAAGCTGTGCATTACCTGCTAGTTAGATCATTTGAAAATTTGTACTGAAAAATCAATGACCTTGAGTGTATGTATGTGTGCTTTCAGTTCACCTCAATTCAGGGTGGTGCAAATGACTTTACACAGCACGATGCCAGTACTGCTCTGCACTATAATTCTTTTTGTAAATAAAAATAAAAAACCCTAGTCAGAAATAAACTGACAAAAATTTACATTCTTCTCTCTTAAAAAAGTAAATAAAATAACATTATTTTAAAATGTGAATTATCTATAAGACATACATTACAGTTACATAGATACATATCAATACAGCACATTCAATCTGCCAAAAATTAATGATTACAAAGCCAATATGGATTCTGCCATACATACGTACATATATATACACACACATGTATATAAATATATATATATGTATGTATGCATGTATGTGTGTTTGCGTATATTATATATATATATAATATGTATGTACAATGATTATAGCATTCATAATTGCACTATACCTATAACCATTTTTAAATTACAAAATGTTTCTTAATGAAGGAACTATAAAAAGGCCAAATTTTCATTTTTTTCCTTTGTGTAAGGGTGATTAAGGGTGAATGACACCACATTCATATTTATTGAGGACTATCCACCAAGCCCTGCTGTGGACAGCATACATGTTCATTTAAATGGGAGTCCTAGCAATTGAAGCAAATGCTAGGTAAGTTGCACCATCAGTTAAACTTTGGTACCCAAATAATTAGGTGTTCTCACACCCTTTCTCCACCAAAAATACTGCTGAATATATATTTTTACTTACAAGCTGCAGCATGGTTTTTTTGTTGTTGTTAAAAATTCCAATTTCACATCTGACCACTCAATCCCACATACACAACTCTACAACTTGACAGCAATCTTATTTTCAGGGTTGCTTTAAAATTATCTTTCAAACTAGTATGCCAAAAAAAAAAGATCATGTGCAGCCATCTCTTTTTCATTTCCTTGTTAAACACCTAGCCTTTCAACATGGTTTATTCAGCAGTTTCAAATACATTAAAAGCTCTTACCTAGAGATCTTCAAATGCATTTATTAAGCAACTTTATCTAGGAAGCTTTATTTCCAATGTCATATTTTGCAATTAAAGGTAGCCTAAAGGAAAGAAGAAGAACACTGTGCAATCTTATGCCACCTTAGACATAAGAAGAAAACTGACTTTTGATTAATAGACCATTTGCTTGTGTGTATGTAGCACCAAATAACATTTTTACTCACGCAGCTTTTCTTTCTTTCTTTCTTTTTTGGCATTGAGAATGGAATGCATTCTTATACAAAGAGGGCACAGAAAAGCTGAAATCTAGCTTCAGATCATTTGGCAGGTGTCTGAATCAGACAGATTCCCAATCAGTTAATTTGGCATTTTAATCAGTATTTTACATTTCAAAAGTTATCATTTTTATTATCTTTTAAAAAGCCAGATTTGGCAACATCAAATTTTGTAGACGATAAAAATAGGTCTGAAATTATGGAGTGAAATCTAGAAGATCTAATTTTAAAAAAAGGGGATTTAAAAAAGCTGGGGATTCCAGCTACTGTAGTGTTCATGACATTTTTGTTTGGCATCTGAGATTAGAAAATAAGCACAGTTCCAAAAGAAGAAAAACATAATGGCACATATCAGTTTCAAAAACAAACACACCTATCCTATTTCATTGATCTGTTTTGTGTCTTAGTCATCTTGTCATTGTGTTCTGTGCATTTTCTGACTTCCCGTGGTACAAATAAAGGTAAAATTCATAACACTGCTACAATTAATGTTCCCATCTAACAACATTCGAAGCCTTCAGTGCAAAGACAGTACCAAGAAGCAGATGTATTTGACATCTTTACCAAGAATTTAAAAAAAGAAATCAGAGTATTAGTAAGTTTGATCCTTCACAAAGTATTTACTGAAAAATCAGAACAATTGATGGCTTAAATTCTAGTGAAAGCGTTTTCCTGACTACATCACTTTAGAGGAAACACTTCTACCAAGGAATGAAACTTGGGGAAACGGCTATTGTACCTTAACGAAAGAAAAATGGGTTAAAGGAGACACCAACGATTTTGCTTTGTTAGCAAAATAATGATAATAATTTAAAAAATCGCCCCAAGCCCCTATCCTTTGTGAGTGCATGACTGAAAATTTAAAACACATATGGTCACAAAGTTTTGACTAAAAAAAAAACTCTGAGGAATTGTACTGCAAATGTAGTTCAGCATCTTTTGTTTTTCCTCCGTAAAGTTTAAATAAAATCATAATATTTACTATAAACTCTGTGAATTTTCACAGAGTCCAGGCCAGCAATAAATTAGTATTATGCAGATCTTTTTCACAGATAATACAGTCCCTCTTGAATATCTTCAATTGCCCAAAAGGGGAAAGGGGGAAAGGAGATCTAAGAGGCACAGTTAGACCAGGTTGTACTCCTTCAGGTTTAACTGTAGGATAGTGTCCTTGACAGCAGCAAAGACAAAGCGGATGTTTTCCGTGTCTGTGGCACATGTGAAATGTGAGTAGATAATTTTTTCACTTTCTGGATTCAGATCCACAAACATCTTCAAGATGAATTCCCGTGCTGCCTGTCCATCCCGCTGAGGTCCTGTATTTCAGAACAAGAGAGTTAAACATTGATAAAACTAATTAAATATATGGCTATTACTTTTGAAGTGCAATGACCTAATAACAGGAAAGAAAATGGTTTTACATATTCAAAAATACCTTCTATTATACATCAGTTGGTCTACATTCTTGCACTTATTCCTACTGAGTGAAGCATTTTCAGAAATTGTTCACAAGTAAGAATTTCCCATCTGTTTGCTCTGGTTGTTGAAAATGCTCAAAGCTCCCACCTTACTATTTTGTTTCATTTCTTTGAACACACATTAAAGCTGAGTTAAACCTTCAATACTCTACAACCTCCTCTATGCATTTGAATGGTGCTTATGCTGGTCTTCTCCCTGAAAACCACTTCAAATGAATGAAAGGTGAGCAGCAGTAGTGTTTCAGGGATTGTTTTTCTATTTAGCAAACCACCAGTTAACACTGTGAACAGATAATTATATAAATACAGCTAAGAAGGCACTATTCCCATCTGAAGCTTTGTTGTGCAAATGGAAAACACAAATATTTTTGTGCTGGTAGATCTGAAAACATCTATAGATATAAGCAACTTTACAGACTTGTTTCTTGCCACTTTGAAAGAGGTACAATATAACATTTTACAGAAGAATTTTGCTCACCATCATACTCTGGGAAATAGTCAACTAGATGGGAGTACATTATTTTCTCCTCTAGAAGATCTTTTTTATTTAAGAACAGAATGACTGAAGAATTCTGGAACCAGGGATATGTGATAATTGTCCTAAATAGTGCTTTACTTTCCTCCATTCGATTCTGCAGAAGACAAAAATATGATTAAGTGAGAGAATACTGGGCATTCTTTCATGCACACAAGTTACATAACTATAACCATAGGTCATGTTGACATGAAAACTATTAAAAACCTTAGAGTGGTTATATTCACATCATATTGGGAGAGTAAAGTAAAAAGACAAAACACTCTACAATTTATTTATTTATTTATTGTCAAATTTATACCCTGCCCTCCCCGCAAAGCAGGCTCAGGGTGGCTTCCAATAACATAAATACAAAATAAAAACATACATTACATTACATTACATTTGCGATTTATATACCATCCTATCCATGAGGCTCAGAGCGGTTTACAGACGCACAATTTCTATCTAAGCTAGGAGTACAAGGGTATTTTCCTAACTAGGCACCTAACAGCAGGATCTGTCTTTCTTTTTTGGATTCGATGGTGGTTCTTTTTTCCTCAAGGGCGAAGATGTCCGATGTTGAAGTACGGATTCTCTGCAGTAGCGGCTCTTTTCCAGCAGATGGCCCCCACAGAACACGAATGAGGCAGCTCGACTCTTTGTCCAATCGGCTCCAGTCTTCGTTGCAACGTCATGCTCTCCAGGCACCGATCTCCGTACTCGGACTTGCCGCCATCTTCATCGATTCCGCACCATTGCCGCTGCTTTTTTAAACACCGATCACGGAGGAAAGGTGCCCCCGCTCGTAAGGAGCAGGTACCCATTTACCTACTTGCCTGTAGAGGCTTTTGGACCGCTGGGTGGGCGGGAGCTGGGACAGTTTTGTTAACTGTTTGACTAGATAGCCATTCTGAGTAGTTAATATCAAAATTACAGGGTCAGATTGGATTACCCTGAAGGTCCTTTCCAACTCCATGATTCTATGAAAAGGCTATTTTTATATAGACCACAGGACAACAACATTTACACAATGTACACAATCACATCCAGATTTTGACATCATTAACCTAAACATCGTAAAAATAAATACTATCATCTCAGGACTCTGAAAAGAACCCGAGTCACATACTTCTATGAGTCAGATTTTAACATATGGCACATAGATGTCCTTTTCCATTATAAAACTAAAAGGTGCACAATGACCATCTAAACCACCCCCAGGCTAAAAAGAATGTTCATTGTTCCACCATCTTCTTTACTACATTACAGATCAAAGTATACCACAGGTGTAGGCAACCTTTTATAATTAAAGAGCCAAACTATGTGTTGGGGACCTAATTAATCCCAGAGCTCTCTGATTCAGAGGAGACCCTAGAAGCCACCCTAGCCATCCACTCACCATGTCAGCAACATGTGTGATGCTTTCAAGATTACTCCTGCTGGCCAGCTGGTTAGCAGTGTCTGGCCCTTTAACAGCCTGCTACCTAGCAATCAGCTGGGAAGCAGCGCTGGGATGGGATAGGGAAATGAGGGGATGAATCACAACCGAGATGTGGGGGCAGCACGAGCAAAAGTGATCTCTATTTACCTCACAAACAAGTACAGTAGGTTTCCAAATAAGGGACTTTTAGGGAGTACATAGCTTACATGCTACCAATGGCAGGGAGGGCAGGATACAAATTAAATTTTTAAAAATCATTTAATCAAAGCCTGTGTCCCCCTTTTTATTTGACTGTTAGTGGTTGGGATTTAAAGAATCTGAGAGGCCAAAGTAGGGGACTGGACATTCGTCTGTCCAGAAGGCAGTTGCCTTAGAGCCTTTCTCCCTATCCCATAATCACCACAGAAGCCTTCATCTAAGGAAAGCTCACAGCTTACCAATTCCTCTAGCAGTGTCTATTTCAAGGTAAGTGGGAACCAGCTACCCAATCCTAAACCTCATTGTGTAAGGACTTTGCTCATTTTTCTGGAAAATGGGGCAGGTGACCTATTGGGGAATGCTGCTCAGAAGAGTCACAGGTGGCTCATGGGCCACTGAGTGAGCATTACTGGTTTCATGTCTATCATTCACCTTTCTGTAAAGTCTCTCTTAAAAACCCTTTTAAAATCTTTGCCATTACTGATACAAGTTATCTGGTGTCTCACATAACTCCTTAATATGCCTTACCTTAAACATTTCATTTTTATTAATGTACAATTACAAAAATAGACATTAACACATACAATAATACAATGATCAACTACAATCATTCACATGACAGACAGCTGTCTTGTGGTGTGGTCCGTGTACAGCCTGGGAGGGTCTGGTCCCGTCAGCTGTCCTGGAGGACAGGCCGTCTAGGAGTTGGATCAGGAGCCTCAGAAAAAAGGAGGGGGTCTGAGGATACATCACAACCGATACCCACCCTCCGCTTGGAGCTGGTCAGAGCTCTCTCGGTGAGCAGGCAGCCTCACAGTCTCCGTCACTTCCTCCCTGGCTCTGGCTTACTCTCCCCCATTTATTCCTGCCCCCAGCACGTGGGTTTTCCCCTGGTTCCGCCTCCTATATCCCATAGGTTTCCCTCCCCTGTCCATCCCCCATGTCCCCTTCCCATTGGTTGGTTCCCACCCCCCTTTAAGCTCCGCTCTGAAGCTCCACCCTCCTGGTACTTGGCTCCGGCGTTCCTGCCAGGGTGTGGTTTGGTGTCTCCTAGGCTGCTTCCCGCCGCCTCTCTGGGCCTGGGGCAGCCTCTTGGGCAGGTAGGTCCTTCCCCTGAAGCAGGGCTCCCCCCCATGCTTCGCTGCGGGCCCCAGAAGTGTGACCAGGCATGTCTGGGCAGCCCCAACCTTGGTCCCAACCCTCAGGAGCGGTGCAGGATGGGACTGGGCCGCTCCCCCGTCCCCTCCAGCCTTGACATCCTCCTTGGGGTTCCTGGCCATTGGGCCCATCCCCAACCTCAGGCCCATAACTTGGGGTTCCTCCGAGGCAGGCTGCCTCTTGGCGGTGCGGTGGTCAGGGAGGCATCCCTGGGCACTGGCTGAGCCCCCATGGGGCCAAGTTTGGTGGTGGGGTGATGCGACGCTGCTGCCCGCAGCTCCCTTCAGCTCACAACTTGGGGAGGCATTTCTGGGCATCACCCGAGTCCCTGCATGGCCAGGTTCAGCGGCGCAGCAGTGAGGTGATGCCCTTCCAGCCCTGCCTACTGGGAGGTGAGGTTGAGCCGTGGCGGGACACCTTGCATAAACATAAAGTCACCTATAATCTTCTACATCATCTACAACATTAAATCATATATACACAAGACAAACTACATTCAGAAAACATAAACTACAATAATCTATTTCATACACTTATCAGTCAAAACTTACTTGCATAAAACTTGCTTATATATACTCTTAATTTTTCACTTCTGTTTAACTCTGTACTAATTACTTCATATATGACAATTTATGTTTACATACATATATTGCCTGATTCTATCTTTTTATCATTTTCTAACAATTTAATCCTGATTTTCAACTATATAATTAAAAATACTTTCCATTTTTCTGGAAATACTCAGATTGGTCTGTTATGTATATAAGACGTTTAATTTATTCTTCCAATCCTTCAATTCTGGGCATTGTTTTTAATTCTGTTTTATGCATATTATAAAAAATTCTTGGTGTTTTATGTAAGCCGTCCTGAGCCAGCTTCGGCCAGGAGGGCAGGATAGATGTCTAATCAATCAATCAATCATTTTTCTGCCTTCCATTTTGCTGTAAATGGTACCCTTGCCATAATCACCATATAGTGAAATAATTCACGGTGTATTTTTGTGATACTGCTTGGTAGACTATTTAATAACCAACTTTTAGGGACCATCACAAACTTTAGTTTTAGTATCTTTTGCATTTCTTCATGTATCTCTATCCAATGTTTTCTTGCTTTCTTGCATGTCCACCACATATGATAGAATGTTGCATCTGTGCTCTGACATTTCCAGCACTTCCCATTGTATCCTTTTTTAGTTTTTGCAATGTCTTTGAGCGTAATATAACATTTAAAAACATTTTATAAAAATTCTTCCTTAATATTTGAGATTCAATAAATTTGATTTCTTTAGTCCATAAATTTTCCCACTGGCTCATATATATATTCTGTCCAAAATTTTGCATCCATTTTATCATACAATTTTTTTACTTGCTTTATTTCTGTACTAGGAGTAAGGCCTATTGTGGGAAGAAATACAACGAGCTCTAGAAGGAAGCTCCAGATGAGTGTCCCGGCTGTGACTGGTGGGGCAGCAGAGGAAAGGGGAGAATAGAGGGATGCAAGCCATGTTTATTTCCTTCTGGTTAGCTATAAGGCAGGGCTGTCTCAAGTCATTTTGCTGCCCCAAGTGGGTAGTACGGGAGGAGAGCCTCATGGTAATAGGTATGGTTCCCTCCACCCCCGACTTATGTTCATTTGGGGTTATGCAGTGGCAGCTAAGATAGAAAACCATCTCCTATGCCATGTCTTCTGGGTTCCAAGGGTCTGGAAAGTGGTTCCATAGCCAGTTACAGGGTTGCCAACTCTGGGTTGGGAAATACCTTTAGATTTGAGGGGTAGAACCTGGGGAGGGCAGGGTATGGATGGACCTCAGCTGGGTATAATTCCATAGAGTCCATTGTCCAAAGCAGCCATTATCTCCAGGAGAACTGATCTTAGAGATCTCCAGGTGCTGTCTGGAGGCTGGCAATACTAAGGGGAGGGCCAGACCTGTAGATTTGAGGGGTAGAGTCTGGGGACGGCAGGGTTTGGAGTGTGGAGGGACTTCAGCAGTGTATAATGCCATAGAGTCCACTGCCCAAAGCAGCCATTGTAATAGCTGGGAAATTTTATGTAAGGGAAATTGTGTGCTGTGGCTGGGGAACACGGTGATTTCTGGGAGATCTCCAGGCCCCAGAGAAAGATTGGCAACTCCAGTGACCGTTTAATGGAAGATTGGGATATGTATTTTGGCAACTCCAGTGACTGTTTAAGGGAAAATTGGGATATGTATTTTACCTCAGGACACATTCAATGACTCGCAACAACAAACTATTTAGAATGTTAGAGGCAAAGGCCAATCAGGCCGCATATGCA